AATAAGGAGAGACATGGCAACAACACTTTGCCCGCCCAGAGGCTGGTACTAGCAGCTGGATTCTCGCCCGCAGCAGTAGCCACAGTCATACCAGTGTTTAATCCCTCCAAACCAGGATCCCCTTGGCATACAGGCCCGAAATAATACCCACGCCGCGCTTCGAATCCCTGGCCGCCGTGGCACTCGTGGGATATTCCGTGCCGGCGTACAGACTCTTGAGCCCCTCGGCCTCGGACCACTCGGCCACCCAGGACGTCGCCGTGGCCTGCTCACAGTAGGCCCTCATGGCGTCGTCGGCCCTCGCCAGCTCGGCGGCGTCGTTGCAGACGTGGCGGCTCGCGGTGAACTTGACCAGCGATGGGAAGTGAGGGTGGCCGGCGATGATGAGCTTGCCCCCGTGGAGGGACAGGTTGTCGGGCAGGAAGGGCACCGGGATAGACGACGCGTAGGCGAGAGAGCCGTCCCTGCGACGCTCGTACAGGTACACGGCGCTCCGGGTGGTGGAGGCGACGGCGACGGCGGTGGTGTTGAGCACCTCGACGCCGTTGGCAAAGGCGGCGCGGGCGACGACGCGGGCCTCGTCCACGCCGCCGGGCTTGTCGGCGGACAGCTTGAGGTGGACGACGGTGCCGAGAGGGAGGCCGAGAAAGGTTTCCGCGCGGGCCAGGAGCGTCGACCGCCTCGCTAGGAAGTAGTGGTCGTTGGAGACGTAGAGCTCGCGGCTGCCGGCGAGGGCGATGGAGTTGGGCCCGTGGATGAGCGGGTGCTGGATGGTGCCGGCGTGCGAGGCCACGAGGCGGTCCAGGTCGAGGCTGAAGAGCTCGATCCTGGGACCGGCCTTGGCGTGGTTGGCAGCGAACAGGGTCGACGTCTGCTCGTCGTATGCCATGCCGAGGGTGTGGAAGTCGGCCTCGCCGGCAAAGTCGACCATCTCGACGCGTCTGAGCGCGCTGGCGTCGGGCGCAGAGGCGTCCTTGTAGTCGTAGACGTAGAGACTGGCACTGGCTGGGTCGGGGAGAAAGATGCCCTGCGGTTGGGGTTGATGCGAGTTAGGGCTGGGCCGGGGGAGCGAGGCAAAAGTGAGGCAAAAGCGAGGATGAGGATGCCTTTGTAAAGGCCCGACGACGTACCATGACCGTGTTCCAGCGCTCCCGTCCGGCATCGCAGGCCAAGAGGGCCACGCCGCGGCTCTCCAGCACGAGCACGTCCTCGCAGCTTCTCACCCGGTCGGCAAACTTGATCTCGTGGTGTGAAAAGGTGTTAATCACTGGCAGGCGGCCTGGGGCGTTGGTATACACCATGAGGAGCTCCCGGCCACGGAAATACAGCAGCGACGACAGCGCCGCCGTCAGCAGCACGGGCTGGTTTGTTTGCTTGGCGTCAGCTGAATGTTTTATTTTATTTTATTTTATTTTTATACACCAGGCGTGGACTGGTAGCTTACCCAGATAGATCTCGAGTTGGACATGGCGACTGCGACTGCAACTGCAACTGCAATGTTCGCGGTGCGAGGTGGCTGGCAATTGAGATGAAAAAAGGTGAGAAGGGATGAATGGGCGTTGTTTGCATGGTGGAAAGGATGTGCAAGGTTCGGGGTTCGAGCAGGTGACACCAAATATGAAGGCGGAACATTCCGAATACTACTCCTGCGTGAAACACGGCCAGATGTCTTACGTACGACTGTGCCGTGTTGAACTCGGAGGCATGCATCATGCCGAGTACACATCTCAAGCAGCACGTAATAGTACGTACCCATGTACGGCGTAATATACCATTTTACCGACCGAGACGGGAAACCACTTCGGAAAACCCTCCTGGGTTTGCCGGCTTAATGTGGGGAATCCCGGAGTCCGGACAATATTCACACCTCAACGCCGACGTACACTTCTAATCGCAGCGAATAGATGCGTCGATACGGAAAACCAAGGGAAAACTATTCGAAATAATCAAACTATAAATCCAATCACATCCAAGCGTTTCCCTCGCTACATCTCACACCTAAAACCTGCCGTCTCATCATCACCTCTTCTATGTACATATCCGCCCGTCCACTTACACCCTAACCCTAACCCTACGTCTGCATACTCGAGACTCCAGAGCATCAAGACCTCATACCACCATCCACCATGGCTCACCTCCTAACCCACTTCTTCCCCTCCAACGAAAGCTTCGGCTACGAAGCCATCCGCGCAGCAGGCTACGCCACCTGCGGTGCCGCAGACATTGGCGAGATCATCGCCATCTGCCACAACATCCCCGCCGGCGACGAGGAGCTCTGGCTGCAGGAGTGGAAAGCAGCCGCCGACCGCGCCGTGGCCAATGCCAACATCAGCCTGTCCAGGGGAAACACAGTCGGCGCCAGGGACGCCTTCCTCCGCGCCTCCAACTACTACCGCACTGCCGAGTTCTACCGTCGCCAGGACCCGCACCACGACCAAGTCGCCGCTGCCGTGGCCGACGCCTCTTGCGATGCGTTTTACAAAGCGGCCGCGCTGATGCCCCATGTCACCACCAGGATTGCCATCCCCTACGAGGGAACAACGCTTCCCGGTGTCATGATGTGGCCCGATGCCGGCCATCAGCCCAGGCCCCTCGTCATCGTGAACGGGGGGTACGACTCGACCATGGAAGAGGTCGTTTACAGCGTCGGAGCCGCCGCTCTCCAACTCGGCATGAATGTCCTCGCCTTTGACGGGCCCGGGCAAGCCTCTGCCGTCCGCAAGCAGAACCTCTGCTTCAGACACGACTGGGAAAAGGTCGTCACCCCCGTCGTCGACTACGCCATCTCCCAGCCCTTTGTTGACTCTTCGAAACTCGTCCTCGTCGGCCTCAGCATGGGCGGGTACCTCGCGGCCCGGGCGAGCGCATTCGAGCACCGCTTCGCAGCCGTCGTCCTCAACGACGGCGTGTACGATTTTGGCAGCGCGTTCCTCTCCCAGCTGCACAAGATCAAGCCCAGTGCGCTGGACGTGGGCGCCATTCTCGTAAGCCATGAGCATGATGACCAGGCTAATGCTGTGATTCGTGAGGCGGCAGCGCGCGACACGGGTATAAAATGGGCCTTGAATAACGGCAAGTACGCATTCGGAATCAACTCCGAGGCAGGAATAATTCGCGAGGCGCAAAAGTATACTCTTAAACATGTTGTTGAGCAGATCAACACGCCGACGCTGGTGCTTGATGCGCCCGACGATCATTTTCTCAAGGGCCAACCGCAGGAGTTGTTTGGCAGGATGACGTGCGACAAGGCCTTGGTTAGTTTGACCCGGGATGAGGGTGCAAGTATACACTGCCATGCAGGTGCTGGCTCGAGACTGGCGCAGGTCGTCATGGATTGGCTTCTTGAAAGGCTTAATTAGGGTGGCATGTTGGATGAATTGGCACTTGGAGGTAACTCGACGCTTGTTAGCAGATTGTGTATACAACATGTATTACAGACCTGTGCTAGGCTTAATGCTGAATAAATTTTTAAATACTCTCCGTAATCTAGACGAATTTAAAAAATCACCATTCACTCGTCTATTATGGTATTAATTTGCGGCATCGTCACCCGGTTGTGCATATGATGCGCATCCTTGGACTTGGATGGCACCCGTACATGACGAAGCCATCCTCCGCTCATCACACCTCTCCTAACATTTTTCGTCATCAGTCCCGCTCCAATGAGAATAAGAGTGCTGATGAGTTCCGACAAGAAGGACAACAGCACATGTATCGTCAAGGATCCGGTAGATGGGCTGAGGTTTGGATCAAGAGTAACGAGTGCGACAAGAGTATAGAGCACCCGGATGCCGATAAAAATCAGCGCGAATAGGGTTGCCCAAGTTAACTATTCCATGTATCAGCACAAAGACACCAAACAAAAACACATGGAGAACTTGGACAGAGTACGAACCCGTCTACCAGCTTCAAAACCAGAGGCATCAATATGTGGCCCCTTTTGGCAAAGGGTCAACACTGCCCACCATACCAAAACGATCCAAGCAACAGTGATTATGCTAATCCCGACTCTTACGAGTGTGAAATCGGACTCTTTTGCCTCGTCGCTTTGCAGGCCAGAGTTGACCACGGCCAGGATCGCAAGACCGGATAGGACAAAAAGTTTGTATACGAGAACGTAGAACCAACCGTGTTTGGGGCCTTTGTCAGTTCATAGATAGTGTGTCGCCTGCATAATCACATTATTTAGCCGGCTTGCCTAATTTGTGAACTGTTGCGAAAATGGAAAATGTTACCCTTCGTATAGAATGCTCGAGGCACCTAGGATTAACGGGGATAATCCGATGTTCGCAATCATTGTAGCCCCTTTGCTACCGTCTAAATCCAACGCACTTCCGACAATGAGCAACACGCAAAACGCAAAGAGATAGATCCATCCGAGGAAGCCGGGCCGGCCATGTTTGTATAAGATGAACAGCACTGGTATAGATAGGCAAATGAAAATCACCATTTAGGCGACTGAAACAGATTTCATTGTGAAAGTAGAAATTTCGAGCAAAGTCTTCTCTGAATGAATTTCTGGCTTAATATTTGAAAACATGAGATGAAATTAAGAGTCAGACTTATATATGAATCTGATAGTGGAGATGCGCACGCTCTAACGGGTTCTCGATTCTGTCTCACGAATCACTTTCTTATATGTAGATATGTTGATCTTTAATGTTGCCTGCAAGCTCATACGAAGTTGCCGTTCTGAGCCCTGAAGCGTGCGCCGTCTTATTGTCAGCCTTGAAAAAGCGGTCCCTAAACGAGACCGAGGCCGATACCGAGACCGAGATCGATATTTGATAGGCGTCTGACACAAAGACCCGGCCATCCATGAACCAGGATCTGTATTTCATCGAAAGCCTTTTGGTAAGTATTTCATCTTTCATAATGTCTTGACTGTGGCCCAGGCGTAATTTGTTGTCAACATTCACATGTCCTTTGCGGCTGTGCTGGCTGTCTCTCGATATGACCCTCATTTGGATTCTCCCACTCCCGACGTTCGCGACGGCGTGTCACTGAGTCGATGCGACAAGACCACATGGGGAGGCTGATTTCCGAATAGCTTTGATTGGCCATGTCATTTGATACTGCCAATCTGGTCCCAGATATTCCTCAATAGCGAGAACCTCCCGTCGGGGGCTGTCCCCAACCCACCACACGTCACTAAACCTGGCGGCCGCGCCGAAGAAATGTGCCAAAATCACCAAGGCGCGCGGTCTCCGTAGATTTAAAAGATCTAAAAACCGTCTCGGAAAGAGAATAGGAGATATCACGACTTTTCGCCATGTAGTCGCAGCATGCTCTGGTGTTTCTTGGGCCGCCAACAAAGCTCCAATCAAGCAGGCGGTACTTGAGTAAGCCTCTTGATCTTCAGCATCATCGTCTCCGGGTTGTGAGATGAGCAAGTATGGGAATCGATTCCGATTTGCCTCACAGAAAAGAACTGAGGGCTCGACAAACGGGGCAGACGACTCAGTGACCACATTAATTTTCGCTGTCGGGTCATCGCGAACAAATGGGATGGTGACTTTAAACACATTCATCACTCCCTTGCACATTTGCAACCACTGTATGGGCGGATGGTAAGGCTCGAATGTTCGCTCTCGCAAACTTGCAAGCGCATGGAGTGAAAGGATTACAGACGTGAAGCTTGCTGGGTCAGCTATTTCCCTTTCTAGAGAGCCAATGGCATTGCGATGCTGTTGGAGCGTCGCTTCAAGATATTGTGCTCCTTGCCACTCAAGTTGTTCCGGTTTCAGGATGCCTCTGGTATTATCCATGTATGAAAGGTGCAAAATGGACAAGGCCATGATGGCGTTGAGCAGAGGCTCGTATTCCATGGCCATGGACGGCACATCCACGGTCCAAATCTTCTTGATTTGGGGAAAAAAGTATCCTGGTATCGTGGTAGTTACTTCTACAGTAAAATAGTGCAGCAATCGCATTTCTCGATAACGCCGATCGCGACTCTCCTCCGCTAGCAGGTCAAAATTCTCAGCATTAGGACCTCTGGCATTCTGGCCGGTGGAGGGGGTGGAGGAGGGCCAAAACTGTGCATAATGATGAGCCTTGGAAGAAGACGATCCGTTAGACCCGGCTGGTCGGTCATAAATACACTCTACACCATGCCTGCCACAGCTTTTCTATCCGAATTGGTCAGTATGCTGAAAGGTTGGGCGTGGAGCCGGTTATACGTACACATTTTGGGCGAGACTCGTCGCACTGATCAGCGTCAATATGTATGCTGGTAGTACGGTTGTGTGAATGGGTATATTTACCTTGACACGTCGTGCCCGACAGCGAGCACATCCTGTTCGGGACTTGGTGTGGTAGAGACGTGGCATGTTGTTAGTAGGGACGAGTTGGTCAATGCAGCATGTTGACCGCGTGCATCAGGTTGAATGGTCAGTGGTGCGTGAATCTAGTTTGTAGCACAATGGCAAGCCATAGCATCCTGATTAGGATATTTGCAAGGCGCAGCCGTGGTTGATGATATGGCTGACATCGAGTTGGCCAACCATATTGAAGTCAGACGTCAGCACGAAGGGATGAAGATTGCTAGCGTGTCCAACTAGTGGGGGCAGGGCAAATGCCAGCCGAGAGTATGAGATAATAAACAAGAGCAAAGTGTGTACGGAGCACGGCGGTTGACGTAGACTAAAGTCGGTGTATGATATTTGCGAGGAATCCCGTGATATTTTATACTGGTGGTCGAATATGAAAAATCTACCTGCGTCTATAGTAACACATTGTACGGAGTAGGTACCCTTCGGCAGGTGATGCATTGGGGTTGCGCCTGCCTCTAGCGTCAAATTGCCGATGGCCCCCTGAGGTTTGCCTGGTGCGAGGCCACAGTGCGCATGGTGACCAATGAATCAACCGCATCAATGGCCTCAATAATGTCCCCAGGACGCTGACGTACTCTCCGTTTCACGTTCTAACACTTCCGACATCTGGATGCCTGATGGCCCAACTGCCGTCTTGACTTTTCTCGATTCTGCGTCCTCCATTCTGAAGTTAATCTCAAACCTTAGATCAATTAAATATATCAATAGTCTCTCGGATATTGCTCTCTTTTCCCCCCATCATGTCTCGGTTTTCGCATTACGACACCGATGAAGAACGACTACCCGAGGGCATGCGCCGGGTTGGTTACGATGCTGACACTCAGGTTTACACGTTCCAAGACGCAGACGGCAGCTACTGGGAGAGTGCCCCCGGTTGTCAGTATGGACAGCTAACACGCGTTGGCCACGGGCTTCCGGATGATGCTGCCGACACCGAGCCCTTCTTGATGCCTCACGAGAGTTCGCCTTCCAAGTCGTGGCGGGCCGAGCTGATGCCACTTCTTAACTTTGGCGTCATTATCGGCGTGTGTCTCCTGGGTCTTTTTTGGTACCTTCATTACGCTGCATCTGGTGAAGAAACTTCCCGACCGATCTGTGTCTCTGGCACTTCGCCATACACAGTCAAAAAAGATGATACCTGCTGGGCCATCGCAAATGGGCGAGGAATCAGCGTCGACTCGATCTTGAGCGCAAACGAGGGGTTGGACTGTGATATGTTGAGAGTGGGATCTATTATCTGTCTACCCGATTAAGAAGCCTTCGCCCAAGGCTATTCATGCCGTTGCACTGAGGCTAGCATCAATTCTAGTCCCAACTCATGCTTCGCAATTGCACCTTTGGAGGCATTCACCGACACAATCCTAATTTTTAGACGTAACAAGCAGCGTCTTTTGCCACCTGCTATCACTTTATTTGTTCCTGGAACTTTTGGTATGGGCAATTCACGATTAGGAGGCAGCTCTGACAGCCAGAATGTGCTCTTGGGTCATGCTTTGATGAGTTCGGTACTTCCCAAGATGTCACGACGTGGCAGGGTCAGCAGGCCGAGCCCTATGTCACTCGCTCCGTTCGCAGCATACAGTCATTTAGCCGTTTCTCAAACAGGATTTGGTTTCTTGGTGGCGACAGTATACTACTAGTCCGAATGATATCCTACCATACCTGTCACTCTACTCCGTATAAAATTATTTGGCCAAGCTTCGTAGCCCAATTGCGGCATACGGGTTGGACAACAAGACGAACCGAATATTAGCAGACTTCACAAAGAGTTTATTTGGAAACCTTGGCCTTGAGCAGTTTATCAATGCTAGGTTATTATCGTGTTGGTGTCACTAGAACTGTGTGTAGCACGTAAACGGAACTGAGCTCTGTGATGAATTGGTCCGAAAAGAACCGAGATCTCAGATGAATAAAAACAAACGGAGGCATCTACTCGACTTGCCGACAGTGAATTATACCGACGTAACCTATATCGCTTGATGATGCTCGGCCTATCTTCTCAGTCGTTTACGACAAGACAAGCATGAGGCTCTTGTGGACAGATCACAGAGCACACTCAGCACTCCAAATCAAACAGGACAGGAACCGCCTTCCCTCTTCCTGTCACTGGGATGGAGTCGGGAGTACGGAGTACGGAGAACGGGGTAGTACTTTGTAAAACGAAAATTTTGACGCGTTTTCGGATACGCGTTGGCTGGCCCTGGCCCCTGTCCTCCCTGTCACAAGCGCTTCGTTGGAGGTGGCTGGGAAACCCCTGGACATCCAGGGACTTTCAGGAACTGGTAGTAGTATTTAAAGGAGAGAAGCACACCCCAGCGAAATTTCTGTTATTCTCATTGATGTTTGGGTAGCTCCGACGCCAATCCCAACACACCATTTATGCCGCCAGATACGGTGTCACCTCCAAAACTACAATACAACCAAGAGTCCATCAGCAGGGTGGCGTCCAGGGTTGGTCACGGCGATGTTGGCCATGCCTGCAAGAGAAGTTCTCGTCACGGCAACGGGGTTGCGAGACTGGTGGCCAGGTTGTACGGAGTACCATGCCTTGGTTGAGAGGGATACGTAATAGGCATGGCCAGTCTGCGTCCATTCAACACCTCATTAAAAAACAATGATAACACGAGCCAGACATTTGAACGACACAACCGCTCTGAGACCCTAGGCATGGAAGACCATCGGCAGCGGTCAATCCGGGAGAGAGCGACAAGGTTTCCACACCTTTTATCGATGCCGACTGCAGGTTCCGAGGCTTCAACGTTGATGAAAATGTCGACGGTCAACTGCCCAGTTGGTTAAGATGATCCGCCAGGCCGCAATCTGCACATTTGCCTGGCCTTGGGTTAGCAGGAGCAGGCCTCAAGCTTTGCCCCTCATCGAAGCGGGGCTCTCTGGGCCAGCGAGCCCAGAGGTCCCTTGGCTGGGTGGCTACCATAATATTTTTTTTTCTGCCGCGATATATTTCGAGGGGCAGACCACACTTTTTTTTTTCTTCACCGTCTCCTCACCCGCCATCTCTTCCATTCTTTTCATACTTTGTCGCAAGAGCGTTGCATAGCGAAGCGGCAAAGATGGATAAGGATCAGCTTGCTCAGTTACTGCAGGCCAGTCAAGTTCGTAAGTGCTTCTTGCTGCTCTATTCCACCAGTCCTCAGCTGTGGTCTGCGATCACTCTTCCCGTCAACCCTTTCATGATGTTGCCAGCATCGCTTGACATGGACGCGTCGTGAATCAACAGGCTTGATTTCATCCTCAATATCCTACTCTTTTTCTCCGAGGCTTCGTTTTAACGTAGTACAAACAGATGCTTCAAAGTCGACAATTTGCTAACACATGTTCTCAACAGCCAACACAGAACAGGTCAAGGCCGCCACAGCAGATCTCCAGAAGAACTACTACTCCAAGCCAGAGTCGCTCATCTTGCTCATCGAGATTGCCCTCACCCACAAAGATGGTGCCGTCCGACAGCTTGCCGCCGTTCAGGCTCTGCGACTAGCCCCTAGACATTGGGCCAGCACTGCTCAGGACAAGAAACCTTTGGCACGTTCCCACTTGCTTGAGGGCGCTCTGAAGGCGGACTCTGCCACTACTCGCCACGCCCTCTCCCGTCTCGTCGCCGGCATTGTCGGCCTTGATATGGAGAATGGCGACGGTGAGGAGTTCCTCAAGCAGCTCCTGCCTCTCAACAACAGCGACAATGTTCAGTCGAGAGAGGTGGGCTCTTTCATCCTCTTCTCCATGTTGGAGGATAGTCCCGAGCACTTCGAAGAACACACCCATCAGCTGCTCCAGCTCTTCCAGTCTCGCATTGAGGACCCCGAGAGCAAGGAAGTTCGCATCAACATCGTCCAGGCTATTGGTGCCATATTGATGAATATTGAACCCGAGGAAGACCCTCAGTCGCTCAAGGCTGTTCAAGGCTTCATCCCCAACATTGTCAACATTCTGAAGGCTGCTGTTGAGGCTGGAGATGAGGAGAGCTACCAGACCATCTTCGAGATCTTCCACTCATACTTGGCCTGTGACCCCAGCTTCCTGGCCGCCCACCTTCGGGACCTCCTTCAGTTCATGATCAACCTCGGCGCCAACACAAACGCAGAGGATGACGCTCGTACGCAGGCCCTCAGCCTACTCATCCAATGTGTCCGATATCGCCGAATGAAGATTCAGGGCATGAAAGAGGTTGCCGCCGAGCTCATGATCAAGGCCATGCAGATCATCACCGAGCTCGATGATGACGACGAGGATGAGGACATGACTCCTGCCCGCACCGCCATTAGCCTGGTCAACACTCTTGCTAGCGAACTTCCCCCTCGCCTGGTCGCTGTGCCTATGCTTGATCAGTTCCCCGCTTTTGCTGCTCACTCTGAGTCGGGCTACCGTATGTCTGCCATGCTCTCTCTTGGAAACGCTGCTGAGGGTGCACCCGAATTCATATCCACTCAACTCGAGCCTCTCCTGCCCACAGTGATCAACTTGCTGTGCGATTCTGATATTCGTGTCCGACATGCTGCCCTCGTTGGTCTCATCCACTTGGCTGAGGAAATGGCTGATGAGATGTCTTCTCACCACGAGCAAATTATTTCTGCCGTCTTGAAGAATCTCGAGTCCGCTTCGCAAGGCACCACTGATAAGAAGAATATCAGCATTGTTCGTTGTGCCTGTGGTGCTCTCGACACTTTCGGCGACGGCATTGACACCAAGATCATGGCCCAGTATGGTCCTAATCTGATTGGTCCCATGATCAAGCTTCTGGACCATGAGGACTATGGCGTCAAGGCTGCGGCTGCCTCTGCCGTTGGAGCCATTGCATCCTCAATGGACAAGGAGTTCCAACCTTTCTTCGACGGCGCTATGAAGGCTCTGGGACGTTTCGTCATGCTCAAGGACTCCGACGAGGCCATGGACCTCCGCAGTGCCACATGTGACAGTTTAGGGCGAATTGCCATTGCCGTCGGCCCTCAGGCTTTCCAGCCATATGTTGTGGACTTGATGAAGGCAAGCGAGGAGGCTCTACACCTCGATAACCCTCGCCTGAAGGAGACGAGCTTTATCCTGTGGTCGAATCTGTCCAAGGTCTATGGTACCGATTTCGATCACTTCCTTGAGGGTGTCTTCAAGGGCCTTTTTGCTTCTCTCGAGCTCGAGGAAGAGGAAATCGACCTGCCCGGAGTTGACCCTAGCCAGCTAGCTGAGGGTGCCATTATCGGTGGCAAGCGTGTCAAGGTCAAGGCTCCTAGCTCCGAGGAAGATCACATCATCGCCACCGGCGGCGAGGATGACTGGGAGGATCTGGATGACCTTGCCGGTCTCGAGGATTTCGGTGCCGTCACTGCTGTTGCCCTCGAGCAGGAGATCGCTATTGATACCCTTGGCGACGTGATTTCGAACTCTTGCAACACAAACCACCTGGAGAGCTATGTCGAGAAGTCGATTGAGCAGATCATTCCTTTTGCCGACCATACCTACGAAGGGTGCCGTAAAAACGCCATCTCCACCCTTTGGCGCATTTATAGCCGGGTGTTCCAAGTCTGGGAAGAGAGCTCTGGCTCCAAATGGCAGCCGGGTATGCCTCCTACCCCTGCTCCTCCCGCGTCCATTGCCAAGATTGGCGAGGCTCTGCATAAGGCTACCATGGATATCTGGACCAGCGACAGCGACCGGTACGTATTTGCTGCATTTTGTGTTTTGTCTTGTGACTTTTGCACCTTCCAATATGATGATTACCTTGCGTTATACCCAGCTCACTCAGACGCAAAATTGCGGGTGCTGAGAAAGCGTTTAATCTACTACTGATTTGGACAATATTTATCTACATAATCCTTCTTCTTGCCATTTGTTGCCACGCTGGAAGCTAATAGCAAGATGATAGATCCGTAATCACCGAGATCAACCGAAACGTCGCTGCCACTTTGAAGGCTTGCGGCCCTGCTGTTCTCGTGGCCAAGCCCGACATGCTCCAGGAGCTCGTCTCCGTCGTTAGCTCCATCGTCACACGCTCGCACCCCTGCCAGCAAGATCTCGGTGCTGAGGATGAGGAGCAAGAGATTGATGCCGGCTCGTCTGAGTATGACTGGCTGGTCGTCGACACCGCCTTGGATGTGGTCTCTGGCCTGGCCGCCGCTCTGGGAACTCAGTTCGGCGAACTATGGAAGATCTTTGAGAAGCCTGTCCTCAGGCTAGTTAGCTCGACTGAGGATGTGCACCGAGCAACCGCTGTTGGCACTATTGCTGAGGTCGCAAAGTACTCTGG